TCAGCTAATAAAAAGGTAATTGTTTGAAGGGTATTTTTAACTTTTTTAAGCGCTAATAAACTTATGAGCAAAAAAACGGGTTTGTGAGCAACTTTGATGTGCAAACTAAACCGTTTTCTCTGTGCCTAGTTACGTGTTTTGTGCAAAAATTTGTTAATTAGCAACACTTTGCTGCATAAATAAGCTGCAAAATTGACACGTTTTTTTAATTAGCAATATTTTTGTCAACAGTTTTTTGCATAAAAACTTTTTTATATTAATTAATGACAAAATGAAAATGCAAGAAAAGTTTTTGATTTTTTTTTGCATTTTTTCGTGTGACACACAGTTCAGTTCAGCACATGTAAAAGTTCACAAATCGTATATTTATAGCGAGTGTTCAAGAGTAATAAAAGTGCCTTCAGCTCACTCATCGACAAGGGAAAAAAGTGCATAGACATATAGTGAACTATTTACAAGTCGGACAGTATTAGAGCTGTAGTAGAGCAGTAATAGGAGTGGTGGTGGCAAGGCAGTGAACATCTGTTTTCTCTTTCGCCAGAAGAACTGTGTGTGACCAGTTTCTCGCTTGAAAGAGAAGGTCAAATCGCTTGGAAAGCGCACCAACAGGCAACACTTGTGAGTAGTGTGAACACACTTGCAGCCTTCTTTCCTTTTGGATGACATTGCTGTTTAGACATTTTTTCGAGTGCAAGTTGAAAAATAACAATGCGATCACTCAGGTAATCTCAGCGCGTTAATCTCGATGATTATTTTTCAACTTGAAAGCCTTTATTTTATCACTAGATTTGAAGTAAAACTTGAAGGAAGCAAGTGTTTCTTACTGAAAGTGCTCGCCAATCAACAAGAAAAACAGAGCAGTTTTAAAATTTAAGTTCAAACAAAACACAACTGGCTCATACTGCTAGTTTTGATTTTGCCAAGTCAATTGCTGGCCACACTAAAAGGTATGCTTGTAATTGTTTATATTTGTAACAAAATTTACAATGTTTTAGCAAAATAACAGTAAACAAAATATTGCAAAACATTTGTTATTTAAATTGTTTACGTTTCATTGCAAATTAGCAGTGATAAGATAAGATTAGACTTGTATTTTACTTGCTAACAACTTGTGAAATTTAACACCAAACGTTTTTATTGATAATTTCCAAGATAATCCAACTAAAAAAACTAAAATTTTTTTGTTTTGTTTTAGATTCAACATCATCATCAACATCTTCCACAATGAATTTGTCTGAACATTTTATAAAACAGTGTCAAAAATTGCTTTCAGATTTTGCACAAGAAGTGATTGAGTTAACTTATGATGAACTGATAAACTTGAAAGTGATTACTCCGACTATCAACGACGAGGACGACAACCTTTCTAAGCCATTGGACTTGACTGTGAAAAGGATCACTAAAGAAAATATCGCTGAATCTCAAATTGAAAAGCCCTTATTACAACAAAGTGAACTTTGTGCTTCAAGACAAAATGATTATTCTTTTTCTTTACCTGCCATTTGTCCTACCTCAACTGCACACCCAGAAGCAAATCAACCAAATGATGCAACTTCAACAGAAAAAGCGTCCTTATTAGCAAACACCATATCAGAAGTTTTATCAAATGTATCCTCGAACTTGGATAATCTTCTTGGAAACATTTCAGATCTTGACAACTCAAGTGAATTGTCTTCCTTACCTTCAGCAGAAGCTTTGGCCAACACTAAAATACCTGTCTTTTGTGCTGATGGCGCACTACAACAAGCAGCCATAAGCCAACTATTAGAAAATGCACGACATAACTTGCCATTAAAGGTTATTCTGAACAATGACAACTCAACAACAAAGCGTTTGGTTCACACCTCAAACGACCAAACTGACCAAACTGATAAAGAAAATTGCTGCTCACCAGCTAAAAAACAAAAAATCTCAAATTCACTGCCTGAAGTGATGCAGACTGTTTCCTTGCAACCAGGCCAACCACTACTTAAAACAACTTCAGAAGTAGTTCAACCAGCAAACACAACTAGGCAGAAAATAACATTTGATCAAATTGAACCCTCTGCAGGTGATTTATGCAAGAACAGTGAAAAGGAACCATGGTCAAATGATCAGTTTAGCGACATAAACGTGCTGGCAATAAAATGCTCAGAAAACTCTTGCAGCCAAATGTTTGACAACAAAACTGATTTTGATGAGCACATAAACACAGTTCACTCTCTCAAGCCTTTCCTCTGTTTGGTTGACAAGTGCAACCAGACATACTCCAACATGTAAGATAATTTGGGTTAACAAGCATTTGAGCACTATCTAAAAACATCCCTTTTGACTTTTCAGAAAGGTCCTATTTTGCCACATTTTAACGTCTCACAAAGTCGGCTCAAACTGGAAGTGTCGACTTTGCCACAAGCAGTACAACAAACCGGAATATCACTTCAATCACTATCAACGTGAACACCAGCAAGGAACATTTCAGTGTGAGCTATGCAAGGACTTTACAGGCAACTTGCGCGCAGACGTTGAGCAACACATCAAAACTGAGCACTCAAAGAGTTTTTCTGAAATAATTAACTCAAAATCAGAGCTGGTGCAGCTACTATCAAGGCGCAGCCTAGACCTAAATTACATTGAATCTCTTTGCAGTGCCAAAGTAGTCTCCACGGTAATCAACTGTCCGGTAAAAGCATGCCCTAAACAATTCATCAGTGAAAGCAGGCAGGCCGATTTAAACAATCACATCAAAGAGCAGCATCACCTGAAGGAATTCAAATGCCTGTTCAACGGCTGCAAAAGAAGTTACCGAAAAAGGTAAGCATGCTGCTAATCAAGCGAGAGTTTCATTGCTTTTAAACTTTTGTTGCATTTTAAACTTTCAGGCAAGATCTTGAGCATCATGTTGAGGACTTTCACGCCTTTGTGAGCCAATGGAGGTGTCGCAACTGCCCCAACAAGTTTGGCATTCTTTCACACTCTGAGCTGGTAATTCACACCCAATTGGAGCATCATCAGGGCGTCTTCGCCTGTGCAGGGCCAGAGTGCACCTTCAAGGCGGAAACTCGCCAGCAGGTGATAGAGCACTACAATGTTGTGCACCTAATTGAGCCTGGCATCAACGTATCGGCAATGATTGACGCTGATTTTGATGCTTAAAAAGCTTGTTTCCAGGAAATAAGTTATTGTAAATAAAAGTATTTGTGTAAATAAAGTGCAAAATTAAAATTGAAAAATGTCTATAGATTTTGTTTGTTAATAGTTATGTTTATTTAAATAATTAAAAAGAATTAGTTATGAGAGTTTAAATAAAATGAAAAAACTGAGATGTGAAGATCTTTAGAGATTTTATAATTCGCCCTCTAGTAAGAATAGAGATAACTAAATTGAAAAACTGTTAGAAAATCTACTGGATGACCTAAAATGAAATTTTTATGGCTCACCCTGTGTAACCATGTAGATGTACAACAATGTAGAGGTGTATAAAGAGATGTAGAAGTAGTTCTTCAGAGTTTCAAGGTTGAACTACCTCTACATGAAAAGAAAGTTCTAGAAAAAGGGGAAAGAACAGCTAAATTGTCAGATTGTCACATGATCAAAGCATTATGAAAGTTAAGAAATCTATTTTTAGACAGAGCACAAAGGGGGTAGAAACATGATAATCTCTCAGGTGGTCACATGATTAGTGGCACTACGGAAGTTTGTTCATTCGACCAGCACATCACAAGACTCTCCCACTCCTGAATAGTATAAAAGGAAGGCACTGGAACTTTGTTTCCGACACTTGCTAATAATCTCCAGTCGACACTCACTGCTCATATTCTTCTTTTTATTCCATCCGCCATCCGCTGAAGACCACACTGTCCATGAACACTTTTTGCAACTGTTGCAGTGCAAATTAATTAGCACTGCCATTTTCCGCTTCACATTCTCGTTTCCATCATGTGACCGATTCTTCTTTTTGTCACTTCCCCTTCTACAGCTCAAAGTGACAAACAGTATTTCCTTTCGACCTTTTCCTGTGCAATCGTCTTTAAAGCGAGCACACTTATCTAGAATGCCGATCTAAATTTATGACCCTTACTTTTGCTGAACAATATTTTCCAGTAAATTTTGTATAAAAAGACAACAGCCAACTAGAGACATTTCACTTGAGCAGAGTGACATCAACATTTAACAACTGAAAGCAAGTCCAACTTTAGAACAACATTTGCCGTATATTTTCATTTAAACTGCCTGATTTAATCCTGCTAATTGAAGCTGACTTCCAAGGGCTTGCAGTTGTGTCAACTAAAATTAGCATTTCATTTCAATTTGCCTTAGCAAACTATCTCAGCACGACAAAATGTTGATTTAATTGCCGTCTAGCATGATGAATTCTAACACAAGAGCTCTTTTACTTACGAAAACCGATCTTCTAGAATTATATTACTTGCCTCGACTCGATCAGTAACAATTGACATCAAAAAGTTCAATTTTGCAACCAACATTATTTAACTAGTGATGATTACATTTAACACAAGTGCTCAAACTTGAAACGCATAGTTCTTTTAAAAATTTGAAAATTTTTGCGTATTTTATCATCAACTACCTTTTTATCTTTTTGAGTACTTTCAACTCATGCATTGTTTGCCCACTCAAGACAGGTATAATTTACCTTTAAGTGCAAAGCTTTTGCTTGTACGCTTGTTTGCCAGTGCATTCAATGCCAACTGCGCTGACACAATACGTGTTTCTCTTTCATTTGCAAATTAGCCTGCAGTTTTTTTGAATTTTGCCTTTGCTGCATACTCATTTTTATTGTTTTCCTGGACAAAAGTGTGAAGCGTTTACTTGTGGGCAGCAGTAGCAGAGGAAACGCAACAATTTTCTAACTACGCAGTTTTGTTCAGCATTGTGTATTCAGTAGCTTAACTGCTGGAAGGCAAACGACAAACGTTAGTATTTTAAACGACAAATCTTTTTTTTAAGTTATAAAAAAATTAATTTGAATTTACACAGGTGTCACTAAGCTGTTGCTAGCAACCATGATTATTTCAGCAGAATTTAAGCAGCGTTGCCGAAGTGTCATTGAGCTGTTGGCAAAAGAACTGATTGACCGAGCGACTGATGAGCTGATGAGCTATTTTGAAGGGGAACTGACTCGACACTGCCTCAATTTAAAACCGCTAGACTTGAGTGTAAACAGTGACACTGAAGTTGACAGACTAACTAAGCCTGTTGATTTGTCAGTGAGCTGTGGCAATTTTGTTGCCACTTTAGATAAGATAGTTGATCAAAAAACGTCTGAACCTATTTTTCCTATCAAGCAAGAGCAGCTTGATCAGGTGGTCAATTTGCCAAATAGTGTTGCTGATGAAAAGAAAACTGAAACTCAAAAGGAAAATGTAACTACTGTCAGTTCACTTAATACAACCAATGTTACTAGCAATTCAACGCCAGCCAATTCAAACTCATCAAATGTAGTCATCAAAGAGGAAATTTTGAAAACACACGTTCTGTGGAAACACAAAGACACCTTTGCCTGCTGAAAATGTTAAAAAACCTTCAACAAACGATAAACCACTTCTTGAAAGTGCTAAAAACATAACTTTAAAGGAAACTAATTCAACCGAATCTAATGTCAGTCTAAAACGAAATGCTGAATCGACAACTACAAACAAAGACAACAACAAAAGCGACACTCCACCGGCTAAAAAGCCCAAAACAGAAATTTCAACAAAACCAATTTCTAAAACAAACTCAACCTCTTCAGCCCTAACAAAAAGCTCTGGCCCATCAAAGGCTTCATCTTCGATAAATTCGCTTTCATCAAGCAAGTCTGAGGAAAGCAGCCACGACGATGATGACCACTACGAGTACGATCGATGGTCTACAAGCAACTTTCATCGAATCAAAGTAATTGAAATACAGTGCTACGTGAAAAACTGTCAAGTGATGTGCAAAAGCAAGGCTGAGCATGAAAAGCACCTGCAAATTGATCACAAAAACAGCTTTCTGCCATTTAACTGCCTTGCAGAAGGCTGCAGCAAGTCATTTGCTGACAAGTAAGTGTTAACTTTTTTTTACATCTCAAATTGCGATGTTGATTTTTTACTTTGATCAGAACTGAATGGAAACGGCACACACTTGAGGTGCACCGCAAAAATGGCATTTTAAGTTGGAAGTGTCGCTACTGTGTGCAAAGATTTGGCAAGCCAGCGACTCAATTTAAGCACTACCTAATTAATCACGAAAGTGGAACATTTGCCTGCACCTGTTGCCACTTTACCTGCAACTACCGAATTGAACTTATCAGCCACATCAGTAGTCAGCATTCTGCATCCAGGAACATTAATAGTGGCGGCAAGTCACTAGTTGTTCAAAAGCAGCCCAAACCACAGCTGAATCGGTTTGAGTTTTCCTGGATGAACATAGTCTCAATTGGCTGCCTGCACTGTCCAGGCTGGTTTGCCTCGGAAGATGAGTATACGCATCACCTTAAGAGTGTTCACAATTTTGAGATGTTTCATGCTATGTGGAAGGCTGTCAAATGTCATTTCAAGCACCGGAAGTGCTAGAAAAGCACATGAAGAGTGCTCACGACCTTTCACACTGTCACTTTTGCTCTGAACCGCTATCCAACATGTTTAAGGACAGCTTGAAGTTGCACACACTGTTCTATCATCAGCGAGGTCAGTTTCGGTGCACCTACTGTCACTTGCAACCAACTTTCAACACGAGGGCAGAATTTAAGCAACACTTTAACTTGGTGCACAAGTGTCCATTTAGTCAGTGCAATTCCTACTTAAATGGAAGGGAAAATTGGGTTCAGCACCTTCAGGGTGTGCACAGCATCAGTGAGTTTATGTGTTTCTTCAATAATTGCCACCGAAACTTTTCAACAGAGTGAGTTTATTGTATGATTGTTAATGATTTTTAATTTGTACAATAATTTTTCAATTTAGAGCACTTCTTGAGAATCATCTCGCTCAGGCGCACAGAGTGAAATCTTGGCAATGTCCATACTGCCCTGTTGGATATATTCCAACTCATCGAGAATTGTGTGCTCACATCAATCAAAATCACCTAAACGGAATATTCAGTTCAGCATATCAGACCAGAAATTTTCCAAAACGCCTTGGTGATTCTAGCTACTAGCACCATTGGCCTCACTTTTATATTCATTCCTAGATAACTTTTACCTGATTTTCAAAATCATTAACCAATGTTTTCAAGTGCAACATAAAATGTTGTTTTAACTAAATAGCAGCCAAGCTGCAATAATTAACTTTAGTAATGCTAACTTTTAATAAAAAATGTTTTTTATAAAACAATTAAAAATGTTTTTAATGAAACAATAAAAAAATCAAATGGCACCACAGTAAATTTTTTTTATCAGTTGCATTGATATGCAGCTTTTACACTGTTATTTCAAATTAGCGCTTTATGCTTTGAATTTACAGTTGCAGGCCACTACTCTCACCGTACAAACTGGTGCATTTGCTTGTTTATTTTTTTAGTTGGCCAGGATGTGTGTGCGCGCGCATGAGCAAGCAAAACATGTGTGTCTTTTTTGAAATCAAGCTGACAGTTTCTTCAAGTTTTTGCCATTCTCTTATTCCAATTTAAATCTTAAATTCAAAAATGACTCATTTGCATTGCTACCAGCAATAGTGGAGCAACACTTTTCTTACACACTGCGCAGTGATCAGCAACTGAAGACTTTCTCTCAATAACCAACAACAAACGTTAGCATTTTGGTAAATCAAATCTTGATTGTTTTACTAAAATATTCTGGTGTACATAGTTGTATTCTGGGCCCACCAACCAAAAAATGCTGTCAACTGAATTCAGGCAACGCTGCCGCAATGTCATTGAGCGACTGGCCAAAGAGATGATTGACCAGGCCACCGTCCAGTTGACTGCCTACTTTGAAGTGGAACTGGCTCGACAACTCAATTTAATCGATGCAAGTGCACACAGATGTGATTCGGAAGGAGGTGATCAACACGAGACGCCCATTGACTTGTCAGTGGGCGGTGGCCGGCAAGTGGTCATCAAAAATCAAGTCAGTGCTGCAGACTTACCAAGCGCACCTAATTGCAAACAGGAGCCAGAAGAGCAGTCTGATCATCAGGAGGATGATGCGGCGGCAAGTTCAGTCAACACAACTGATCAAACCAGAACTTCAGCTCTAACCAATAATGACCCATCCGATAATGATCCATCCGATAGTGACAAATACGAAGAATTATCCAGTGGTGATCTTGAAAATGAATTGTATGAACAAAGCGATTTTGAGGAAACAGAAGTAGCACCTTCGTTTTCTGAAAATGACGAACAGGGTTCTGTAAGCGATGAACAACCCGTTTCAAATGCTGAAGACAATGCTGTGCAGCAAGAAGAAGTCGTCTCAACAGGGCAAAAAATCAACTTAAAACGAGCAGTTGTAGCTGTGAGCAACACTGAAAGTGAAAGTGACAACGAAAGTGACACTCCATTAACCAAAAAACCAAAAACAGCAATTGCTGCTAAACCAACGTCAGCAATTTCAACTTCTTCTTCAACTCAACCAAAAAGAGCCTGCCCATCTAAAACTGCCTCATCTTCCACTGAAGTGCACTCATCATCAAATAAATCTGACGCCACTGGAAATGAAAGTGGTAGCGAAACTGACACTCCCCCGGCTAAAAAGCCTAAAATTGAAGCAATTGCGACAAAACCAATTTCAAAACAAACTCATCAGCTTCAACTTCCTCTTCAACTACTATCAAGCAAGCAACTACTGCCGCCCAAGCAGCAGCTC